GCCATCAAATTTTGACATCGTTGTTGAGCAATTGCATTAAAAGTTAAGGTTTCTTAACATTCCGATTGTTTTAAAGGTGATGTCAAGCCAAGGACGTTAAACAAAAATGCTTATTAGGAGGCAACCCAATAATTTATGTAAAATTTATTATTTCTAGTTGATGTTCACTTTAGTGGTTTAATTTTGCTTTGAACGCCTCTATGCTTGACTTGATTTGAAGGGGTTTTACACTAATAGGTGAATTTTGATATGTTGAAGGAAAGAGAGAACACACGGGTAGTAGAATCCTACATGATTTGTAGAAGAAAGAAGCACGCTTGTTTCTATTTTTGGTTGGAAGTTCAAAGCAATAACGGGAAGGATGCAACCCAAACAGTGGCCTTACGCATGGTTTACCGACCAATGATGACACGTCCTGTGGCACCTTTGCATCTTGTAATTCATCATATCGATAAAGGAGCACATGCAACGGGGCATCTACATGGTTTGAAAGAGGAAATTCATATACCCATATGGGTGAGAAGCTTGTATAATGACCAAAAAGAAAGAAAGGAGACACTACCGGTAGCATTTGACACGGTTTATGCAATAACATGAATACATCCACATGTCTTAGGCTTCTCTTCCTTCGCAACCTCTACCTCTCTCTTGAGGGCCTTTATCCAAATTTGGTCTTTTATCCCTTTTTCTTTTCAACTCCGTTTTAATTTGATCATCTATGTTGAACATTGAGGACAATGTCCAATTTAACTGTGGGGGTGCATTTAGCATTTGGGATTTTTTTTTATGTTTGTTTGTGAATTTTGTATGTTTGTTCTAAGTTATTCCCCTATAAATTTTAAAAAAAATAAAAATAAAAAAGATGAAATTGATGCCATGGTCTAGTATGATGGTCTTTTAAATTGATGTTTGATGATGAATTTGATGAAATTTGATGAGATGAATGAACATGTTTGGGATATTATTTTTATAGATATACATGCATGCTAGAAAGCTTTACGCCTTTATGATTGAACATGATTTAGGCGAGTAACATTAGTGTTGAAAAAAAAAGAAAATCCTTTGAAAACTAGACCTAAGCACGGTTTAAATAAATGAGATTTTCTAAATTTTATGGAAATTTGAAAAAGAAATCTAAAAAGCATTCCATTAGAAACTTTGGCCTAAATAAGTAAAAAATTCTACTCCAATGATTTGAGTTCATTATTAACTAGGAGTATTCATCACAAATGTTTACTTTTACATCAAACGATAATTTGAATTATGAGTATACAAAGCACTCTAAGTTGATGAATTGCTAAGTAACCAATTGCCTTCATCATAAATGTTAATAGTCACGTAAAAAGGCAAATAATCACTTAGAGAAAAGCTATTAAGGCCTTGAAACCAAAAAAAATTAGGATGCTTAAAATGAAAAAGTTTTAATTAAAGAAAATCTTGATTTATTGCTTTGCTTGTAGTGGTGAAAAAGCAATAAAAGTAAAGTTTGTGTTGCATGGCTGAATTGTTTTTAGTTATAATGACGCATAAATCAATTTAAAGACATACATTGATATAATAATAATATTTTGGACATGATCGAGTTGATTGTTGAGTTTTGAATTGAGCATCAATGTTTGAAAAAAAATCATACCGGCATGACATTTATTTAAATGATTTTGTGGGTTTATCATCTAAAAATCCTCACGAGACATAACTCGTCCACTAGGGTAACCTAAGGGGCTTAAAGGCTTGTTGTATATGCTAAATGTAACCGTGATTCCTATGAAAGTAAGTTAGGTTTTATTTTATTTTTATTTTTTTTGCTCGAGGACTAGCAAGGTTTAAGTGTGGGGGTATTTGATGAGCATATAATTAGCATGATTTTTATGCTCTTTTATATTGAACTTTCTAGTGTTTATTGTACTATATTTAAAAAATTAAGATAAAGATAACGATTTTGGGTTTTGTAGAAAAAACATTGAATTGAAGTAAGAAACCTAAGACAAAAGAAAAGAGAAGCCAAAAGTCATCAAGGAAGCTTTAGGAGACACACGACCATGTACGATACAAGAATAAATCGCTACTAGCCATGTGAAATAAAAAAGGAAATCATATGGATGTCCAACATGATTAACTTAGACCTTTTAGATTTCTTACGGGTTTTTCAAAGATTTAGAGTTGGATTTAGAATAAATGGTCTTAAAAGATTTTGTTAACGACATCTCAATATTTTCAAAATGATATAATGGTCAAAATCCAAGTTCGTTTGGCCTTTAAACGATGTTTCATATTCCGATATGAAAAATTGATCTAAATCTCATTCAGAGTCCATATTAGTTTTGGATTTTAATTCATATCTAGAGTTTTAGAACTCTAATTAATGCAAGGCCAAGCCCATGGAATACTAAGATGCATAGCTACAAGTCTTATGAAGATCTTGAATCCAAAATAGGTCGTTATCATAGAGGAATTTAGCTTCAAAGTGGAATCCTAAGACCGAGTAGATAGGTTGAGTTAGTGTTATTATTTCACTCATAACTTAAGCTATATTTATCGAATTGATATAAGCCTTAATACGTTAGAAAGCTAAGAAAGAGGGTTACAACCTTTATGAAGAAAAAAACCCTAATTTGACATGTATCAAGTTCATTCAAGTTGATTATTCAAAGATTCAATATGAAGTGCAAATTCCACACGAGCAAAAGAGATTGAATAGGGGATGAAGGTAAATATCACACGAGCTATAGCTAAAGACACGAGAAAGGCACACGACATGTCCCTTAGTCAAGCAAGCCGTGTGTCACAACAAACAAGCCATGTGGGGCTACCATGTGTATGTTTTTACCCTACTTTTGATTGTAAATAGAGAAGTTAGGATTTTATTTTCATCAATTTTCAATTCTAGCAGACCACACCACTCTTATAAGCAAAACCTTGCAAGTCTAAATAAACCCCTTCTTGGTTGAATCAAGTTGAAGCCTTTGGTTAAATCGTTGTAAAATTATGATTTTTATTTCTAAATTTATCTTGTTTGGGTATTTTATGTTTTTCTCGTATGATTGGTTTATAGTTGTATGATTAAATTGATTAGAGTGCACGCTAGCTATTTAATTATATTAACTTATTGCTAACTAAGTATTCAAGTCCATGTAATTGCTTGTCTAAACTTACCTGTGGTAATAACTAGGGGTCGATGATTATTTTTCACGTTTTCATTCAATCATTTGAAAAACATAGAATTAGATTACATATTCTCTAACGCTTAGGAAGGTGGCTTAGCTTTACCTATCTTTTTCGATTAATATTGTTATTAGATTAAATCTATCTAGCGCTTAGTAAATTGTTTGAAATAAAAATACCTTTTGTGCGATTAACCCCTTTTTGTTCGTTGTGATTTCCATTTCAAAGGGTCATGTCTTTTCCTTCTCATTAAACTTTGTCTCGTTTAGTTTAATGGCCTCAAAAGTTGAACCATAACACGTTGTTCTCGCTTTTCCCATTTGATTTAGCTTCTGTTTGTTCTTCCCATTACCGCTAGGTTTGGTTTTGTTCTTCTTTTTCATGGGAAACTCACATGCATAGAGCTTAACAGTTGCCACATAGCAAATAACCAATGCCTCTAAGGGCTTGAACTCAGAGTAAAATGATTTCGTGCTCACCAAACCAGCCCACACCTATGTGGTTTGACTTCTGAGATCCTAAGATAGTCTCATGGGCCAGCTGGTCGAAATCATACACACTAGTGGAACCCATCAGAGCCAGGCAAGTGGGCTCCAACAAAACAATGGTTAGACCAAGCACCTCAAAATGAGAAATTTATGTTCCTGCGATGCATGTATTTGCCTATGAATGACTAGTTTTCTAGAAAAGCAAGGGACAGGGTCCATATCGATCAGAGTGATTTGTAATTCTATATTATAGACACAGACAAAAATTGTCAAGTAAATGCGGTTTATGTGCATTGGAATAATTTGATTGGCTTTTATATATATATTCGAAGGCAAGTGATATTTTTAGAATAACATCCACTTCAATTAAAATTAATTTTTTTCCAACTATTTTAAACGTGTATCTCTCATATCCCTGGTGAATTCAAGAAATGAGAAGTCAATAAAAACAGCATTCTTTACTTTTAAGCCTGCCCTTAGGATTGTACTACTCACGAGACCAGGTTGACGATATGATATCTTATACGTATGAATTTGACCCATCATTTAAAACCTTTATAAATTTCTATATGGTTTTTTAGAAGCAAAAAGTTAGGTGCCCGCGACAGACAAGGGTCCAATCCACACATCTATATTATTGCCCTACCACATGAAATGTCATCTTGACTATAATAGGCCTTTAATGTCGTTGAATGTTGTTTCTTTTTGAAAGAATAAAGCCATAATTAAGCCTATAACATTTTGTTAAACCTTGGATTTAACAATATCTACACCTACATAATCCATATTCTATGGACACTAAATCACCTGTCAAGGTTCTGATGGGTACAGGTATTTGTAGTTTTATAACTACTGTGAGTCTGTGATGGTCATCTTTCGGGGTCTCAAATTGGGAAGAGAGGGCCAAAGAGCTCTCAGCAATATGGCCACAAGGCTGCGGTGCTATTTTCGGTAGTGTCACTTTCTTGACAACCTCAAGAATGCTATCATTATTGACCTCCATCGCACCAAACAAAGTCACTGGATCACCACAGCCACAGCTATACACATATGGGTTCAAGCTAAGCAGACCACATGGACGTGGCTATTTGTGTGCAGCTTCAAAAGAAAACTAAAGAAAAAATAAATCAGTAATTATTTGTGTTTTATGTTATATTTACTTGTACAAAACATATGGTGAGATGAATGAAGAATTATCAACGATTGTAAAATATAGTAAATGATTACATGGGCCCTAACACTCCCTCTGATATCATGAAGCTTCTTCTGTCAAGTCAACATGATGTCTGTAGTATATTCATTTATGTGAAGTTAAATATACAATTCTGTGCATAGATACTTCCACGTGAAATGGCAGGTGAGTTGACAGTGTAGCTTGGACTAGTGTGTGCCTCTCTGTATCCTGATAAAAAAAAAAAAAAAAGGTTTGTTTTTTGAAATTAACACTACAAAGTCTTGAGGTGTTCACTTGTGTGGATATTTGATAAATCTCTCATGCTGTTGTTCGGAATTCGAAGTTAAGAAAAAAATTGAGAAAAATATTTATCGAAAATGTATAATTCACTCAATGCACTAAAAGTAACAAGGATATCCTGACCCTTGATAGATACTTGGTAGCACCATTGATAGATACTTGGTAGCATGATTATAGATAACGCTCTCATGAGAATAGGAGGAAAAAGGGTATTTCTTTGATAATACATTAAGAAAGTGACTGTGCAACTGCAACAAATAGTACAGACTAACAGAACTCAACAACCCACTAAACTAATGAAGGTCAAAATCTTCCAATATCAAGTTCAAAATAATTAACAAGCTGAGTATGATTGCACAGGACAGCAGCACCCTTTTTTTCTAGTAAATAACAGCAAACTCAATCAGGGCAAATAAAAGAACAAACAAACTAGAATTTGGAAATTGGAAGTGATATGATGATCATAGAAGCATGTGAAGATAAGTGAATACGGAAAAGTTTGTTTTCTTTCATATCGCTTTCCCTTCTTGTATAGAAAAGGCAAGAGTCGATGTCTTGTCTTCCAAGTAGAAGAAACCGAGGGACCAATGAAGTTTGCAGTTCGTTTGCGAGTGTCATGGGGATTTGTTCCAGAACTTCAATTCTCTGCACAAATTATATAGTATCACTCTCTTGTCCTCTATACAATACTATTCTCCTTCTTTTTCTTCTTCTTCATGATCTTTTACATCATATCTAAGAGTTCCGTTTCTTGTTTAGCTTTATCCCATGATCATGACAGACCAGACCTTGAGTCCATAAGGGCAATTGTAGATTCGATCAATGAGTTTATTAGTGGATTCTTGGCAAATGTTGAGTCTTGGAATTCTTTGAAATCACAATGTATTTCCAAGCTAAATATAACTCACAAACAGGAGTTCTTTGAATTCTCTGAGCACAGAGTCCTCTCAAATCTTTACTGGGGAATTGAAAGCATTGAAGCTGCAATACAAGCAAAATGTCCAGAAGGGAAAACTAGAGAGCTCAGGAACTTAGAAAGGTTGCTCCAGGTTCTGGCATTGCTTGATGAACATGCGGCTACAGCAGGAATTCAAAACCAGTTCTTGGTTTGCTGCTCATACTTCTATCTATCAGTGGTTAAAAAGCTACAAAATGATGAGTTGCAGGTTGCACTACATTATTTACATCCAATGTTGGTCTCCCCTAGACTTGTCCGAACAGAATTTGCACTGGAGTTTTGCCGAACTCTCTTTCCTCCAAGCACCAAATCCAAAATAAAGGATGAATCTGCCTGGGATTTTAGTGAGGACAATACTGATGAGGCAATCCGACACATTGCAAGGAGGTACAAACACTGGTTAATGTACTATCAGATCATGTTGTGTGGAGAGACTTCTCAATGGCACTGCAGAAGCAGAAATACTTCACACCCTGATGATGAATCACAACATTTATTGTAAGTTCTCGTCTAGTATCATCACAGTAATAATTTTTAACTTGACAGTGAACGCACAGGTTTAGTTTGAGCCTTTTGATTAACCTAGGATCAGTTATGGAAGTGTACCATAGAAAGCATGATTATTATATTTTTCAGTTTGCCTTTGGAAGTTTTAAGAATCCGAATCCCCCTGACCATCCCATAATTGTTAGCTCAATACAGGCATGTGGTGAAGGGCAGCAGTGATCTTTCGAGCTCAATTAAGCATGAACACTGCTTGCATAATTATCATAAGGTAAGTCTTGCCTTGTTATCTTTCATCTTTAGATCTGCATGTATTAATCAGGCTCTGTGCGCATACTCAAAAGGGAGTCAAGTTCTGAATTTACAAAACTACAGATAATTAATTATTCACATAATTCAACATTTAATTTTATAGTTTTCATTCGCAAAATCTTACATCCGTCATATGATGCAGAAATTATTGCAGTATGAGATGGTGCGTCCGCTTGATCTTCAAGAAATTAGAATTGAAGGTACAGCAGGTGAACCTATGTCAAGTGGTGATATTCAAAAATTTCAATATTATAGCAAAAATCTTAAGCATTTGGATCGAGTTCCAAAGGTCAACATCAAGCAACTTCAGGAAATACTGATGGAAGGAGAATCAGATTCACCAACTTCAGTAAGTTCATGCTACAATTATGATTTAAGAGAAGATGATTCAGACGTAATTAATTGAAAGACACCACATATGTTGCCTAGGATTTTGTGTTACCTAATATGTGGAATATGCGTGCCTTTTTCTTGTATTCCAGAAATTGCTACTTTCAAAGTACTGCCAGCAACTATTTTTCAAGAACCATAACGCTGAACGCTTATTTATATGTTCAAGAATCCGAAAAATATGAATGATAGTAAAAACTCGACAACTACTATAGGAACAGGCGTTCATGATCTGCAACCAGAATGCTGGGATCAGTTATGCTCAAAATCACAATAAAGCCCATTTTTATTTATTGTCCAAGCATGCTATAGATAAATTAACATCAGAATCGTACTTACTATATATATTCGATCACAATGACATGAACAGGATGCTGCAGGCTACTTGTTCCACAGTGCATTCAGTGTCCACAACGCAATGGTTTTGCCACATGCTTCTTAGCACCGAATGCAGGAAGAAGCCAGTGAACTAAATTTAAATGACTTTTCTGGAAGATTCTTAAGTTGTATCAGTGATTTCGATCTACGTGTCTTGGAGTTCAGAGATAAAAGATCAGACATCCAGTGGAATTCCCAATCCCATGCAGCAAACTCAGCTCAGAGGCTGCACAATGCCCAAATAGATCAACACGGAAGAAGTATAAGTACAAAACAGGACCCACATAGCCGGAAAAACTTAAACGAATTTTATGTGCATTACAGAAAAGATTCCAGGAGATATTGAGAAAGCAATTTCAAAAATATGTTTCTCTGAAGGTTTAGCAAAGTTTGAGGAAGATTATGCTGGAGAAGTGTCGACCGTTTACGAAATGCTTAACAATAAAAGAGGAGTAAAGTATACTATGTTAAAAAGATGTAATGGTGGATCAACTTCTGACAACCATTTCAACTTCCAAAGAGGAAAGAGTCATAAGGGCATCGGTTTCTATACTTACAACTATCATATCGACAAATAAGTCTGCTATAGAGGACATCAAGAAGAAAGGTTTGAGGCTGTGTGATTTGGCAACTGCTTTGAAGCGAAATGTGCATGAGGCAGCCATTCTTATACATTTGATAAATTCATCTCCAACAGAAATGAAGACATTGGAACTCTTACCGACGTTGGTTGAGGTTGTGTGCTCTTCAAAAAGTTACAAGGAAAAACCAGCGACACCTTTGCTGACACCTCATACGGCATCGTTGATGATTATTGAAGTCTCGGTCACTGCATTTGACTGTGCTACTAATAGCATGCACTTGGCTGCAATCAATTCTCCCTGTGTTCTTTGTGAACTCCTCAATGTTGCTGGAAATAAGTATCAGGAAGGATATGCCTCTTTGGCCAATGTTCTAGTAAAATGCATGCAGTTTGATGGACAATGAAGAAAATGTGTAGTACAATTCATTCCAGTGGCTCCATTTATATGTCTACTCCAAAGTAATGAGAAGCGTGCTAAGTTTGCAGCGCTTGAGTTTTTCCATGAACTCCTTCGCATGCCAAGGTATGAGTTTCAGTTTGATTACTTACATAATATGGTTCGGCGTGAACTATGCAGTCAGAATTCTTATGCAAAATCAGTTCAAGTGTATTTTTTTTCATTTTTGGCAGAAAACCAGCAATGAGCTTATTGCAGCAAATACGAACAGAAGGAAGCACCAAAATTATGGAGTACTGGTTTATTGTGTCCGAGAACTTCAACCTGATTACCAACTTTTAGCAGCAAATTTGTTGCTTCAATTAGACACATTGGTAAGTGTGTTATAATTTGAAATGTACAATCTTAAAGCTAATAACTACCATTTTCCACACTCACTCTTAAGAAAAGAACCGGTACAACTGTTGAAATTCAGCTATACAATTGTTAATTGACTAAATAGAACTTAAATGCATTCAAAAAAAAAAAAACCATGGATTCATATCATGGCAAGTTACTGTTGGATAAGACTAATTGATCTGGCCAGACATTGATTGAATATATGTAGGAAAACTCTTCTGGTAAAAGTTCAGTCAAAGACGATGCTATACAGATCATCCTCAAATTAATGGATTCTAGAATAAGCTCTCCTACACAAGAGTTATCTACTTTCATTCTAGCAAACCTTGGAGGAACTTATGCTTGGACAGGGGAGTCTTACACTGTGGCATGGCTGGTAAAAAAGGCAGGCTTGACCTCCTTGTGTCACCAGAATATGATTAGAAACTTTGTGACTGGTTGGATCAAAACCTGCAGGTGAGAGCTAAAATTAAATTAAAAAAAAAATCAATTTCAATATGGTAAGGTTTGTAACTATCGACTATACATCCAGATTAAGTGAGGTGCATGAAAATAAAATGCAGGAGGCTGTGCTTGAATCTTGGAGCAGCAAGATTGCAAAATCAATAATTGACGTAGGAAAACCTGTCTTCCAGGATTTAGAGAAAGGTCTAAGGAGTAAGACAAAGAGGGTTTCTGGGGACTCTCTCACCGCAATTGCATGGATTGGATGTGAAATTTCCAAGTGTCCAAATAGCCAAAGATATTCTGCTTGTGAGATCTTGCTTAGTGGAACAGAGCAGTTCTTGCACCCTGGATTGGAGCTTGAAGAAAGACTTCTAGCGTGTTTGTGCATCTATAACTAAGCTTCTGTAAGAGGTAATGCACTATGGATATAAATATAAAATCAACCCTACACGTGACTTGTCATTTTTAAGTCCATCATGAAAACATTAGACTCACAACATATGAACAATCCGATTCATTTAGGGTATTCAACATTTATAAATCTTATAATGCTTATCATGAAGAATAGCAGTACACTCGTTTTTGTCTGGCATTTGTGGTTGACATATATTAACTTCTTGCATTTTTCCACTGCTGAAAGGCTTCCATACGCATCAGCAAGAGCGACATAATAATGGACAAGCAAAATCCAATCGACTCCTACTCAGATGCATTTTACTTTTCTCTGGGCAGGGATGCAGAAACTAATCCATTCTCCGAAGGAGTACGGGAATATTTGAGACGTTTTTCAGGAGTAACCTGGATGGCAGATGAACTACATAGAGTAGCTGACGATTATTTGCCCAACCAATCCGTTAGTATTCTGTGATACCTTTTCTAGCTGTAGTGGTGATGTTAGATCAACTGAATGCATGCAAGATCAACCATACTCATCTCATCGAAAAACTTATAATGATAACACAGCGTATTTCTTGTGTACACACACAAATTGTGGAGGCAAATGGTAGCAACAGTGGAGCCATAACTGCTCTAATCTACTGCAGGGGACTGCTTTATAGTGGACATTCAGATGGTTCAATCAAGGTGTGAAAATGAAATAGTCAGTTAGTGAGTCTTAGATATGGCAAAAAATATCATTAAATGCAGCATTACTATTTTATGTGGTTGAAAAAACATTCAGCTTATGGAAGTACATTGATCAGGTGTGGGACATCAAACAGCAGTCAGCCACAACTATATGGGACTTGAAAGAGCATAAAAAAGCAGTGACATGCTTTTCACTCTTTGAAGCAGGGGAAAGCCTTTTGAGTGGATCTTCTGACAAAACCATCAGTTTATAAAATTGTCTCATTGCAAAGATTATGTTATTTTATCAGTCAAACGCATTGCAAGAAATTTGAATTATGTATTCTCTGAATTGCACCCATCTTTTAACAGGTTTGGCAAATGGTACAAAGGAAAATGGAGTGCATTGAAGTCATAGCTATGGAGGAACCGATTCGACAGTTAGAAACATATGGCCCATTAATTTTTGTAATCACCCAAGGCTACAGAATGAAGGTAATGATTAATAAGGCCGTGCATAGAATTTGTAATGCTCTTGGAAAACTATTCATCAGATTACCATTATATTCTGAAATTTTTATTTCCAGGTCTATGATTCATCAAGAACATCCAAAAACATCTGTAAGACTAAAAAGGTGAAGTGCATGAATCTGGTCCAGGGAAAGATTTACATAGGCTGTAAAGATTCAAGCATACAGGTACAGCTTAAGAGACTCTTTTGATGCATACTGATGCAGCAACTGGTAATTAAGACAGTACGGGACACATTCTTTCAGGAATTAACCATAGCAACTAAAAGGGAACGAGAGATCAAGGCACCAACAAAGAGTTGGATGATGCAAAATAAGCCCATCAATTCAATCGGTGTCTATAAAGATTGGCTTTATAGTGCAAGTTCAGTGATCGAGGGTTCAAAAGTTAAGGTGAGAACCATAAATTAACGTAAATCTAGGCACTTTAATGCAAGAAGGTTTTAGTGACTAAGAATATTACAGGAATGGAGAATGCATCATAAGCCCCAAATATCTACAGTAGCTGATAAGGGCAGGAATGTGTTAGCAATGGAAGTAGTGGAAGACTTCACTTACTTCAATTGCTCCTCATCAACCAGCAACCTTCAAGTACAGCTAACATGTTGCACTTCCTTCATATTGTTCAGAAGACTTTCTGCTTTGGCTTAGTAAAATGCATGATCTTTTCGCTGAGAAGCATTTTAACTTGGAATACTACATGTGAAACTAGATTTGGTTAAAAGGGATGCAACAAAAAGTGGGCAGGATGTCGGTAGGCAGCAGAATAATAAGTCTTCTTATTGCCAATGACGTTGTTCTATGCGGTACTGAGAAAGGACTGATTAAGGTTTGTTCAATCAACTCATCATATGGACTTCAATTTTCTTCAAGTACTCAGTCAATGGTTGTCCTCACCGCAACTTTCTTTGATGGACACGCAGGGCTGGATACCACTCTAGTCACCAATCAGTATTATGACAGTGCTTCAGCAATGGAGCTTCCAATTGATGTAGTATATATGGTTTTAATGTAAGTAGCAGGCTTTAGTTGTTGCTCCTCTGCGAACACAACTTTCCCTAAGAGCATTAGCCATTAGTTGTTGTAAAGAGTTATGTTACCCTTCCAAATAACTTATTTGTCAAGTATATTTCTACAATTAACAGAGATGGCTAGCTATAAATGGACTTATATCTCAGCTCATTTTAGCTTCAATGTTTTTTTTTTTTTTTTTTTGACAAAAACAATATTAATTATTTTGGTATTTAGAGTAAATTATTAATCAGTCCCTTTATTTGTGCGAAACAAATTAAATTAGTTTTAAAAATTAATTATTTAGATGAAGCTTATGATTTCTGTACTTAAAATGTGAGAGTAAATTATAATTTAGTCCTTCTAGTTTTACAAAAAAAATAAATCAAATCGTCCTTCTAGCTTTAAAAACTAATTATTTATATTTTTACCCCTTTCATGTCCTTTTTCAATTTATTTATTTGAAAATTCAAAAAAGTTATGATATGCTTTCATCAAAAGCAGAATGATATAGAATGCTATCAGCCCTACATTCGAGGTGATATATATATATATATATATATATATATATATATATATATATATATATATATATATATATATATATTCACTTTTAGAAACAAACAAAACCAACAACAGATAAAGAAGCAAAACTAATTGCAGCATGACATGCGAAAAGCACGATTTGCGGCCAATGAAATTGGTTTGGTAGTGGAGAACTTAATTACTTGAATTATGGAGATTAATTAGACACACTTTTTAATTCATTTTCCAACACCAACAAATTCTATTCTAAATTCTAAACAAAACTAAAAGATTAAGCATTGTGATTATTCATTTGACACTGTTCATTCACACTAATAGTAGTATTCACCTACTGTATACATTTTTTTTTCCTTTCAATCCGAGTTTTGGGTTTTCTTTTTTCTTTTTTCTTTTTTTTTTGCTTTGCATACAAAAGCCCTTCCATTTTCTTTTCAATTTCTATCATGCCACTAAGTGGAATTATGAAATTTCATATTTATCCTTCATTGATTTGCTTTTAATTTGCTTCTTTCGTTTTTTTTTTCTGGTCATTTCCTTTTGCTTTAGAAAAAGCATTTAATGGTCTGTCATTCTTTTTTTTTTCCTCCTCTTTGTTTGTTTTGGCAGGCAAGAATTGCAATGGAGAGTAAATTATAAATTGGTCCCTGTTGTTTCCACAAATAAATCAATTAGTTTTCTATAGTTTTAAAATTTGATTATTTTTTTTTTTTTTGCATTTTTTGATTTATTTTTTTCCTTTAACATATAGAAAAGAAATAAAAAAATAAGTGAGAATATGAAAAGATTGATGAAAAAATATGTTTTATAATTAAGAAAAATTGTCGTGATCAACATTGGTTAAAATAATTAAATAATTATTTTTAAAATTAAAAAGACTAATAAATTAATTTCTCGAAACACAATTATTTTTTAAAAACATGATTTTTTTTATGCATGGATTCTTAAAATAAAAATTTATAGTAATCTAAAATGCAAGATTTAATTTATCATAAATCCTAAAAAAATATATATGTATAAATTTAATTATTTATTTTATAGAATTGTATTGAGAAAATAAAGCAACAGTTAATTTTTAAAAAATGCTTCAAAAATTTAAGATTTAAAATATTTTTAATAGTTTTGATGAGAAGATGAATTTTTAAAAGTATGTATATTAAGTTTATATACATATATTTTTATAATAATTATTATTATTAATTTTATAAAAGTGCATAAAAAATTCATTTAAAAAAAGTATGGTACCATCAAGTGTTATTTTTAAAATATATGTTTTTTTATTATTTTATTTGAGAAGAATTGATTTCAAAATATTCATTTTCAAAAAGTTAACATTAAGCTTCTTTTTTTTTTTTTGTATATGCATAATCAATTTGCAACTAAAAAAATTATAAAATTAATTTTGATATTTAATTTCATTATAAATAATATAATAGCAATTTTATCATCCTTTTAGCACTCAAACATTTGCTCAAATGAATTGCCATAGCACAAATTAAAAAAACACACAAAATCAATACGGATGCATATAGATTTGAACTACAATTCAATGTAGAAAAAAAAATTCTTGAAAAACAAAATCAACCATCAAATATAATTTTTCGAAGGAAAGCATAAAGGCAAGTTTCAATTTATCAAAAATCCTAGAAAAAATATTTATAAATTTAATTATTTATTTCATAAGACTATATCAAGAAAATAAAGGAACAATTACTTTTAAAAAAAAATTGCATAAAAATTTGAAGATTTAAAATAAATTTTTATAATATTGATGAGAATATTAATTTTTAAAAGTATTATATTAGGTTTATTATATAGATTTAAAAAAATAAGCATTTTTTTTAAAGAAAGCATAAAGTGTTTTCGAGGCTACAACTTTAGACACAAAAATAAAATCATCATATATATACTCAAAATAATAAATAATATTAGAAAAAAAAACTCTATTTAAAAAATATGGTACCGTTGGGTATTGTTTTTAAATTCATCTTAGAGGAATTGATTTCAAAATATTCATTTAAAAAAAGTGAATATCAAGTGTTTTTGTGTATATGAACAATCAACTCGCAATTAAGAAACTAAACAATTTTTTTTAAAGAAAGCATAAAAGTATCTCTAGACTACAATTTTGGGCACAAAAATAAAACTACCATATCATATTTATAAAATCATTTAGTTTCTTATACCTAATACAATTCTTTTTAATGCACTCTTTTTATATATGCTAGGAAGAAATTAGGTGAAAATAATAATGAAGGAGTTCCTTAAATCGCAAAGTAAATTATAAATTAGTCTCTCTTGTTTCAAGAAATTAATTAATTAGTCTTTTTAATTTCAAAAATAATTATTTAATTATTTTAATCGGTTTTGATTACGATAATTTTTTTAATTATAAAACATATTATTTTTTCATCAATCTTTTTATATTTTCACTTATTTTTTATTTCTTTTCTATATGTTAAAGGGAAAAAAATCAAAAAATACAAAAAAAAAAATTAAATAATCAATTTTTAAAACTATAGAAACTAATTGATTTGTTTGTGGAAACAATAGGGACCAATTTATAATTTACTCTCTATTGCAATTCTTGCCTGCCAAAACAAAGAAAGAGGAAAAAAACAATGAAAATTAAAGAATCGGAATGATATTTGTATTCTAATACTGTGTTTGGAATACTAATAAGGAATCGAATGCAATTTAAATTTTTTAATATCCGATTTTTATACAAATAAAAATAATGATTAAAAAATAATTTTATTAAACTATAATGATTGTAAAAATAATAAAGGTTATGATGGTGATTGTGGTTATGATAGTGGTGGTTCTAGTGGTCGTGGTAGTGGCGGCGATAATGATTGCGGTGGTGGTGGTGATGGTTGTGGTTGTTATGGTGGTGATTATGGTGGTGCTTGGTTGTGATAATGGTGGTAATGGTTGTGGTTGTTGTAATGGTGACGATGGTGGTGGTTGTGGTTGTGGTGATAGTGATAAAAGTAGTTAATAGATAATAAATAAATAAAATATATTATTATTTTGAAAAAAAAAATCATTCCCATTTCTTGTTTTTTATTACCACATCTTATGTGGGAATGAAGTTGTATATAAATTTTCATTCTTATTCTTACTCTTCATGTTCACTTTATTTCTTTTAACCAAACAACTATAGTGTAGGAATAAAACTTTTATTTTTATTTTCATCATTCTATTTCTGATTATCAAAAAGCATCTGAATGAAGTTGTGTGCAAATGCTTTGTTTAAAGCAACAAGAAATGATCATAAAAAACGGCAGAAGAAAATTAAAAGCAAATTAATGAAGAATAAATATGAAATTGTATAATTCCGCTTTGTGGCATGATAGAAATTAAAAAGAAAATGAAAGGGCTTTTGTATGAAAAAGAAAAAAAATAACTTTACCTGGATAATGTTTATCCGCGGCGAAGCGTGATCGCATCCTAGTCTCTCTCTAAAATTCCTGAGAAACCAAAAGTTTCGTTCTTTTTTCTGGCTTGGAGAAAGCAGGATCCAAGATGGTTGATGATACATCAGTTGCGTCCAAAAGAAGAATCACAGAGATTGAAGAAGAACCTCTTCTTCAACAAGTAGAAGAAGAAGACCATTCTTTTTGTTTTCTATCTACTGTCTCTCCTCACGGGGATTCCAAAGAATCATCTTTGGTGATTCTTTCACCTACAAAAGCAGACCAAGAAGAAGCCAATAATCAAGACAGTACAAGTCTAAATTCTTTCAAGAAGGTAAAGTGCTCCTCTCTAACTGAATCTGAGACTAGTTTTGGAGAGAAAAAAGAACTGGGTTTTGAAGAAAATGATGTAAAGTTTGATTCTTTGATTGAAAAGAATGTTGCTTATTGTGAATTGGTTTCTGATTCTTTTGAAAGTGGGGAGTTTGATAAAAATATTGACAGTTCTAGTATGAAAGTGCAAGAAGCTGAGAATTATGTGGACGGTGGATTAAAGAAAGGAGAGATTGAATGGAGAGTTGATAATGTGAAAGAAGTGAAAGAGAAGGGAGAAGACGTGGGGAGTGAATGTTTTGACGCTGAGATGGGTTTAGATATTGATGATAATAAAGAGGTTGTGACGGTGAAAGAAATTGGAGTAGAAAGTTTATTGGAAGCAAAGAAGAATCAATTGCTGGAAGAACTTGAAGTTAGTTCAATCTTTAAAAACCAAACCAATGTGCATAATAATGTTGATGGTTTTGAAACTGATGTGGGAATCTCGGGGAGTGTCAAAGGATTTGATGAATCTGTTAGACGTGCATTGAAGATTGAAGTGATTGACGATGCAGTGTTGATTGAACCGATTTCGGCAACCAAAACTGGTAATGGTGGTGTTAATGCTGCCGAGAGAAAGAAGAATGGGAAACAGGAAACTGATGGAAAAAAGGCGAAAAGGCTACGGAGAAGGGGAAAGGTTGCAACAAAGGGTTTGGAGACAAGTGATGGGAAAAAGAAAGTGACCCAAGTTGGTGAAGCTCAAAATAGAACAATCCATGCTGGTGAAATTCGAAATGGCTGCGAAACAGATGGGGATCAGATGACGAGGAAGTACTCGAGGGTAGAAATGGAGGCCCTGAGGTTTGCAAATATTGTAGAACAGCGAAAATTGTGGAGAAATATATACACTGGACTTGGAGAAGATGTTGTGGAGGGGTATAAAGACTTGGCAAGGTCAAAGCATCAGAAGAACGATTGCTTGAAATTCAATCCTTTGGAGCGTTTTGGAAGGAAGGAACCTGGTATTCTTGGTAACTGTTCTTCTTCTACTTCTTCTTTCCGTGTTTTAATACCACAATTTTTAAATTATTTGTGCATCTTGGATTGCACTTATGATTTGTTAATATATTTGATTCTTGCTTCATGTGATGTTCTTATTTAGAAGAGGCATTGGCATCTCTTTAACCTATATAATTGAATGCTATGATCACTATTTAAAAGGCTTACTGACATGTATTGGGTTATGGCGTGCTATTTTGATGAAATAGGAATAACTTAACACACTCTTATTCTTTCTGTTTCACATTTCGGTTTAAACTTCACTGGATCATTTTCAATAGAGTGTATGAAGAGTATTGGAGTCTACCTGAACCTAAGATGATCCATTTTTGGATGGGTAAGAGGGGGGCAATAAATAAATAAATAAATCAAAGTTAAGCAGATAAACTTGTAAAAAGTCAAACTCTTGCATGCTTGTCCAGGAATAGGTCTCTATCGACTTTCTGATAACTTGATCTAGGATATAAGATAGTGAGTGTTATCATCACTGTAACTAAATAGTTGGTTTGAGTCAACCTTAGTAGGACTTGCAAACAGTGGAACATTTATCTAGTGCAGATGAAATGCCAAGCACCTGATTTGAAGAACAGAGAGCAGTTCCATTTGGTTCTGCAGATGATGCTTTAACAAAATGCCTGAAAATTTGAGTTTTAAATTGCTGCCTTTTGTGCGGCTTATGTTACTAAAACCTGGTTTTTTCCTTGTGTTTTGATTGGGCCCTAATGTTATTTTAACCATATGATTGCTTCAAACTTGTACTCTTGTATTTCCAGTTTGATTACTGAACTCAGAAAATGTACTCTTGATGATCATGTTGGTTTCCCCTTTTTTCTTAATGATCCGAACATCAAAACTCTTGTTGCTTGTGCTTGTTTTTCTTCTCTTGCATGGCAGTTCCTTTTGCTGTTTGCTTTGAATTAAGCAGCTCCGATTTACACTTATTTTGTTTTTTTTTCTTCATCCCATTTTCTTTCTCATTTTTTTTCAAATTCTGTTGTACTTTTTTTTCTTTCTAATTTTCACACACTCATTTTCTCAACTAGTTTGAAATTGAGGGTTTGTTGTTCTTTTTGTTCTCACTTCCCCCTTTTTGAACCTTTCTGGTTTTTGGCTCCTTTTGTTTAAAAATAAAACAGGTAAATTCATCATAAAGATTTCGAAATCCAATGAAATGCTTTCTTTTGTCCATCCCTTCCCTCTGAATTCAGCTCTTATTTTGTCAATTTGATTGGTTCATTTTCTGTTTGGGCAGGTGTGGTTGCAGCGAGGGGAAGATGGAACCATTTGAATGAATTTGCACACTGGAGAATATAGCCTAAAGGAATCTTGCTAAAGTCCTTTTGTGCAACATATCCACGCATATCTGTCAAACTTTAAGGCTAATAATTGCTGTGCGTATGCTACTTGCATATAGTCATTGTACATAGAAATTTTTTCCGGTCGCTAGCCTAGATCTTTCGAGAGCCTAGTGTCGTCATACAATAGGGTCCGTTGCATTCTTTTGTAACTGAAAACTAATAAAGAGATGCTACCTGGCTACTTTTTGGTGAATGAACAGAATGTTGTGCCTGTTACAGTTATTTCCCCATATCATCTTTTTGTTGCTCTCTGGCTGAAATACCATTGTGTATTTATTTATTTATTTTGGGATCAAGATTACCATTGTTATAAGAAATGTTTGAGGGACTCTAAATTTATGAGATTAATCTCAGGGGAAGAATCTTCTGAAAATGTGGATGGTGGATTAGAAAACATGGAAGGAGATGGCGTACAAAATGTGGATCTCTTGGATCCTGGTTGCAATAGCAGTATTCAAGGTGAAGGTGTGGATGCAGTTTTGGAGGAAGAGTATGGTGAGGAAGATGACGGTGACAATGATTATGCTAGCATTCAGAGACCTGCTTTTGTCGTAGAAGGAGAACCAGATTTTGGTTCTGGACCCCCAGAGGATGGATTAGAATTTCTTAGGCTTGTCAGGTACCATTCAATATCCTACTTTTTTTTTCTTTCCCAATTATCGATGCTATTGTTAAAATCAGAAGAATGACTGCTGTCTGCCAAGAGGGAAGTCTGATGAAAACGTTGAAGTTCTAACATAGTTTATCAGACTGAACATAAAATCGTAATCTTGGCATCAAACTGATATTTCTTTCTTCTTCTGTTTAGGTGGGAGGCTGCTCACATTCCAAAAGTAAAAGTAGCCAAGCTTGATAGGAGTAGAATTAACAAAGAACAAACTGTTTATATGCCCCAGATTCCTGATATTGCCAAGTGTCCAGAGTATTTATTGCCGTCGAAGCAGTGGAAGGATGCATTTCTTGCTGATTTTTCAGAGCTGCGACTGGTATGGTTTTGGTGTTAATATGCTTTGTGTTTATGTGGTATTTTTATTGGCTTAACAACTCTATTTGTCTGTTTTAGCTGAAAATGGGGGAAAGTTCACCTCTCTTTAAAATGAACCTGTATCTCTGTTTCTTGAAGAATTGCCGAAAAGATTTTCTGAAGTTGCTTGTGTAAAAATGTTGCATGTTTAATTGATGTGAGAGATATACATCCTTGGATCCTTTTTTTTCTTTTTTAACCGTGCCTTCAAAAATGGAAGAGTGCTGATTTTTTCTTGACGGATGATTTGTGACTTCAGAGAAGGAGAACTGTATAGTATTCATTTGGGCATATAGTAGGAAAAACTTGAGGTTAGCTTGATATTTGGGAACCCAAAGGTGATATATTAAGGTCCTTAAGAATCCTGCCTGCTAGGTCATAAAAATATAACAAGAATAATAGAAAATATAGCACTAATGTAGAGAACTGACTGTGTTTTCTTTCACTGAATTTCAGTTTTTGTCTCAAAATGACGGTTCCAGCACTAAAATTTCCCAGAAGATGCAACCAGCAGCTATTGTTCACGGGAGTTCCTCCTCTCAGCTTGCTGAAAGAATTATTGTTGAAAAATTCAATAACCTTAGAACTGATGAAGTCCAATCCTGCAAACCTTGTAATACTTCCAGCGCTGAGAACACCGTTGATCAGCCATGCATGGTGAATATTGAAAATTGTAAAAGCCTAACATTTTCTCAGAATCCAACTCCTGAAGCTTCGTCTGGTATAGCTTTATGCAACTACCCTACCTTATCTGAGATTTTAGCTATGGAATGTGTTGCTCGAGTTCGGATGCTGAGGCAGTGCATAAAATTGGCAGAAACCATGGACATGCTGTCAAAGAACGATTGCGTGTGGCTATTTGCCTTATGTCCAGCGGTTGATATTCCACTAGATGCTGACACATGTGCTGCTCTTCGGGTTCTGCTCTGGAAATGTGCTAGCTTGCGAGCTAGCAAATCTGAACTTGATGATGAGGTTATCATGCTGAATATTCTTGCCACAATTTCGGGCAGGTACTTTGGACAGTCCGGAAGCTGAAGCTTCTCCGTCCAACTAAATTATGTGAATTTCAAGGAGTACATTTATTTTCTTGTATTTGAGTGTTTTATTTCTTACAAACACAGCAAGTTGCTTACTTTTTTGAATCTGTACCGAAAATTACTTCCTTTTGTTCGGAGGCAAAGTAAATGCTTTAGAAATTTGGGGCTGCTTGATTCGCTATTTATTTTTCTCTATTATAATCTCCAGCACGAAAAACTGCAAACAGAGCTTGGGTCAGATGGCTGACCCCATCCCCATTATCTCAAGAGCTCGGTGCAAGCTTGCTCCATTACAAGAATTGAAAAAAGGATGTTAAAAAAGGGGTAGCTCCAAGATTGATTCTAACAAGAGTATTAATCATCGCTGTATTTTTTTTTCCCCCTTATATTACCATCATTTGATTTTCTTGAGCTAGGTTTTGTGAATTTTGAAATTGAAATCATTTTCCTTGAGAAAACCATTCTTCTATTATCTAATGCTTTCTCACCATTATGCTTCAATTTTGTAAAAATGTAAATATTTTTTTATAAATTATTTTTTATAATCGAACCGAAAATTAAAGTATATAGGTTTAGATCTACGAGTAATCATTTCATTTCCATGAAAAAAAAAAGAACCAAAAAAAAATGTTAAATTCAAAAACTCCCGCCCATTTTGGCCCCTCAGAATCGATCTGCTTTTAGAATAGCTGATGCACCAGCATACCGATAAATAAAAGTACCAAAAGTGAGAGACGACCCGACCGGACCCGACCCGAAACGGGAAAATGTCGATTGACCCGAAAAGGAAAGGATTTACGAGCACCACTCCTCCAGCTTCACTGACCAAACTCTTGCTTCGTTCTCTGTCGCGTCTTAAGTCAAGAACGCCAAGCAACACCATCCCTGTCTCTTCTTTTTCTCTTAAATCGGTACAGTAACAGTTTCCTTTCTCCTTTTTTTCTTATGTCCTATATTTTCTTTTACAACATTTGTTGATTCTTTATCTAAGCGTAAATACGAAGATGGTGTTTTTGGTTAATGGGTTTTTTTTTTAAAAAAAAAAAAACAATTTCTGGTTATCTGGGTGTGTTTTGCAGGTGTGGTTATATGATTGGTGGCTGGTTAAGGCAGAAGGGAAGGGCTTAGCTGTTTCTGGGTTTACTTTTAGAGAGTAAGTGAATTGATTGATTTATTTGTTATTTCTTTGATTGATATAATTTAATTTTCTTCCATTTTGCTTTCTTAGTTGAAATTTTTTGGTCATGTTACTATAGAACATTGCATTTTCTTTTTTAGGGTTTATGTTTTGGCATAAATTATTCTGTGAACTTAGCTCCTTTTTTTTGTTGGCAAGGAATTAATTTTCTGTTTGTGTTATTTATATAGAATTATTAATTTACTTTTTCCTTATTATTACTTTGATGGATATAATTTGGTTTTCACTCATTTGCTTTTTTTTTGCTAAAATTTTGTGGTTATGTTATGGAATGTCTTTTTTTTTTTTTTTTTTTGCTTTTCTTAATCTTGGCATAATTTCTTCTATCAAGATTATGTTGTATATTCGTGTGTTATAACCGTGCAATCTGATCAGTGTGTGCGAAACACAAATGGCAGACCTATTTCCTTACATGCACAACTCTGTTCGGCATTTTTCCTTTGCTACTTAAAGGTTGTAGCGACTTAGCTGAATTTTATAATTAGTGAGCAAGGAAGTTATTGTTTGTGTCTGATTTTGGTATTGGATCTGATGCCACAGAGGAGTAGGAACAAGATTATATTGCTCGGCAGCGATTGTCAAAAGACATTATGCCACCATTCTTGAGACAAGAGATGGCATCACTATTACAATTAGTGGATTCATAAATCGAGATCGAACATGTAAAAATGGATTTTCATTTCAGGTATGGAATCATCTTTGCTCAGGCCTTCACTCTGATTTTGTTTTTGAAAGAATATGGTGTTGTGTGCTATTTGTTTTCAGAAATTTGTGATGCAGAATTGTTGCTGTATATTTTTGTTTATTGTTGTTCCCATCTGCTTGTGTGAAGTTGCTGTTTTCTTTTGAGTGAAGGTTTATATGTCCAGTATTTGTGCATTGTAAAGAAGGAAAAACAATTTGGATTCAGTTTTCTAGATAGAGAGAGATGACTATCTCTAGTTGTATTCAAGTTCATTTGTTGATTTTCTAATGAACACAAAAAATGAAACTGTTTGAGCAGATTTGTGAGCGTTTCCAACTGGGATTTCCTTATTCTTGGGAAGAACTTGCCACCCAATTGTGTGGTGAAGAGTCTGCTAACAGAGGTAGTCCTCGGGGAAAATTGGGGTTTGATGAGCCCGAAGTGTCTTCTGGCATCACTGCAAAAGCTGCTTCGGTTTCTTTTGATGATCTCCCAGTGACAAGGATACGTGATATTCTAATGCACCCTCTTGGAGATTCCAAAGATTGTGTACTTGCTGATATGCTAGAACAATCCTGCAGCAATGATGTCAAACTCTCTCCAATATCAACCAATCCAGACTCAAAGAATCCAGTCACAATGGCAAAGACCGTGGTGGATGAAACTCCAAGGACGTGTAAGAGGAAAGCTGGCCAGAAGTACAAAGATGGTGGTAAAATTCCACGTACAGTTGATACAGTAATGGGGGAATGCATTACACCAAGCAGAGGAATTGTTACAAGAAGCATGTCTAGATTGAGGAATCTTACAGAAATACGAGAAGAAACTCCCTTATCAAACGATACTGCCTCCTGCAAAGCATTCAGAAACGACCCAGATAAGGTTTTGCTATGCTCTTCCATCAAGAGTAAAGATAATAATTTTCCTTCAACATCAGAGGTCACTAAGAGCCAGTCCAGAGTGATGAGGGGTACGAGTGCTGGGAAAGATAGCTGTTCTACCATATCTAGATTGATGGATGATAGAAAAATGAAGGAAAAAAATCTCTCATCAAACTCTACTGTCACATGCAAAGCATTCAGAAACTTCCCAGAAAAGGTTTTGCTACACGCTTCCATCAAGAGTAAAGATAATGCTTTTCTTTCAACATCTGAAGCCACTAAGAACGGGTCCAGAGGGATGATAAGTACAAGGGCGAGGAAAGGTAGTTGGGCTACCACATCATCCGAGAAAGTCATGGAAGCCCCTGTTGTGTCTTCAGTCAGAAGGTCAAGTAGAAGGTGCAATATCCGGAAGGATTATCGTGTGAAATAGAAGTATGGAAAGCCAAAATTCTGAAACAGAACCTAGAACTGGTGGAATGTTCATGTCTAATGGAGATGTACTTGCCGAAAGTGAAGCCTTTCCTCTAGCCTCACTTGGGGGATCCATGTATGATATTTCATCCACATATCAATGAACTGAAAAGGCTTCCCAGCATGTTCAAAATGAGCTCAACAAGCGTATGATCAGAAACCCCAGGGCGTAAGGCCTCAGCCTCAGAATCTGGCAAAAAGCATCCTTGATACTGTCAATTTGACTCAAAATAACATCTTGAGTATTATGTCAATTTCAATAAGGTCACTAAGGGGTGAGAATTTACAATAAATAGCTTCATTTCAGTAGTGCCTTGCCTTGCAGCTCTATCTATCTTCTATGCTTTCGATATATATAAATTTTTTTTTAGTGCTCTCATACTTTCTTTCTCCGTGCCACGGCACGAGATTGATGTGATGATCCCTGAATCATGCGATATGGACTCCGTTACAGTACAAACTAACGTTCTTATTTACAATATAACTTGTCAGAAAGTTCATATGCCGGGTAATAGAATGCCTGCCTTGTAAAAGCCATGACTTTCTCTATCCTTATATTTTAACATAGGAAATGCCTTAAGTTTGGCCACCATATGCAGCCCACGGCCACCACAATGAATGGCGTTTCATGGCAACAATTTTGTCTGCTCGAGATTTAAGAACTGACGCTTATCATTAGAAGGATCCTAGAATCATCAGGACTCCGTTCTTTGATTTTCTGTGCTAATTAATTAGTCACTTTCTGGTCCAGCATATTACATCTCAACAAGATTGAACTGAAAGGTTCAAATACTTGATCCGATTCATCATTCCAGAATTGTCAGGACTTGATGCTTCTTTCATTTTTGTGTAATTATGCAATGATAGAAAAAGGAGAAACACCCACAGAATAGTAAAAGAATAAGCTGAGTCTATTTTTTCTTCTCTTTCTTTCAACAAAACACATGCCTAACATCATCAAATGAAATTGAATAGTTGGTCACGCAAACAGACCGAAAACTTCTAGGTCTTGATTCCCCTGTATTTTACAGTGACTTACAAATGGAACTATTTGCAGCTTAGTTGGACTTCCCTTTGATTCCACAGTTAACAGTCACCCTTACATGTGCCAACAAAATTATCTCTGGAACTGACTATTTTTTTGTTACAAATTCTAGAACGCGGGGCTATCAGGAGTTTAGTTGAACAGTTGCACTTCCTTCTGATACTGCATTTACACAGGCACTCTAGAACGTGGGGCTATCAAAAAGCTGCGGATCAATGAAATACAAAATTAGATCAGCAGCTTCTAACAGTGAAGTGTTTGTGAATAATAAATGTATATAAATGAATTGGGAATTCTATCGCCCAAGATATTAACTTGATTCCAGCCACTTACAACAGAAGTTACAATCACGCAAGCCCCTAGTGCAAACTATACCAATAAATTTGTAACTCAATACTACTTTTATATAAACGAAAAGAGCTGCTTCTCTAATATTAGAGTCTCATATTCATCAAAAACCTTTTTTTTTTTTTTTTAATCAATGATTACGAGGTTCTTTTTTTGGTTAATCAAATTATTTTACCAAAAAAAGGGGGTGTGCATGACACATCTAAAGTCTTAAGATCTTCTAGTTAAGTCCTTATATTTTCAAATTTTCATAATAGCATTTGTCTCCGAAAATAACATATATTCTCTCCAATTTTTTTTTTTTTTTTTTAACTCATAGTCAAGTTTGTTTTTAGATGGCATTTCCACTCAAAAATTTCTAGCTCCACCCCTGCGTATATTTTATGTGAAAGCTAAATCTGAAGATTATTAAAAATATATAAAATAAATGCATTGCTATATTTTTCCTTTTTAGAATGTGTATTGCTACTTTAATCTGCTTTTTAAGTTTTTTTTTTTTTTCAAAATCAATTATATAATGAACTTCATATCCTGTTTTGGATTGATTATTTTGCTTTCTTTCTTAAAGATGGAATCTTGAACTTGAACGTAGGAAGAGGTTATAAAAATTTATTGAGATTTTTTAACTTACTTTATACATCAATTTTTTTTTTTTTTTGAACCGCTAATTTTGAGATTTGGTTAAAAAAAAAAAAAAAAAAAACTCTTCTACAACCAATAGCAATTTGCAAACAAAAATAACAATAAAAAAGGTACTTTGGAACCTCTCATCCACTTTGAAGTGCTGGTATTAAGAATGAGCATGGATCAAAGGATTAAATTATAATTTTCGATAATGAGCTAACTTGAAATTTTATGAAAGATACAGTAACCAAACTATTATAAATTATAAAAAAATAAAAATAAAAGAACTGGATGTGTAGTCGTTCATTTACTGTCGCTACACACCCAGTTCTCTTATTCATTGAATATTTTCTGATTTTTTTATTCCTTTGTTTTGCCCATGTGTGTTGGTTTGATTTCTTCTTTCTTTGTCTCTTTGCTCAATTACTGTACAGATTCAATTTTTTTGCACATTTTTTGTTTCAACCGTTCCATCTAAATTAGTTGTTTTAAAGCCATCCGATCGAGCATTTTTTTTTTTTTTTTTACAATCTCAGCCATTGAATCATGATATATAATTTCGTTTTATCCTAATCTCAGGGAGCCTCCATCTTCTACCATTCACTTTTCACCCAAACTCTTGCTACAATTGCAACCGCCGCCACCACACCCCGATGCGAAGTCAGCAACCATCACCACTACAACATCCCAATCTCACTAAATCATCTTTCTCTATCTTCATCTTTCTACTCTCTCTTTCTTCTCTCTCTCGCAAACAAACATATCTTAGATAGGAGTAGCCCCCAATCTCCTCTTCATCTGAAATGCTTCATGCAATTGCACCACCACAGCCTGATGCCGACCATCGGCCACCCACACCACCACAAGCCGTCGCACCAAAGGGTGTTCCCACTGCCTAAAGCTGGTAATTTTTATTTTGCATTTCAACAGAATAATTCTTTTTCGAGGAATTGTCTTTGAGAAGTGTTAATTTTGTTGGGATTTATTTTTGTTAGTTTTCATTGGTAACACTGAAAATTGTTTCTTTGATTGGTTTTTGATGTTAGGTTTCTTTTGCTGTAATAAAGTTTTGATTTTGCTTTCATTTTCTCAAACTTCTCTTACAGCCAACATTGTTTATCAATCAAAGAATCGAAAAGCTATCATTTTTTTAAAAATCATTCTTAGGTTGTTTCGGCTTTGAATTTGAGGTATAAAGTTTTGAATTCTCCCTGTTTATTCATAATTTTCATTTGGGGTTTTCGTGTTCGATTTGATTTGATTTTTTAAAAAGAACTGGAAAATGAGAATGGAATCTGAGATGGGGATTTTTTTTTTTTTTTAGGGTGAGAAATCACTTGAAAAGGAGGGAACTTTATTTTTCTTTTGGTTCCTTTTCTGTTTTGTTTTTCTAATTGGGTTTTTGCTATTTCCTTTTGCAGAATTTGTTTATTGAGGTGAGCATGGGTTCAGAGCTGAATGTAAGAGTGGATGAGGTGACTGAAAATAGGTAGGTTTTGGTGGTTTTGTAGTGCAATGCAAATCATAGTCAATTTTTGAAAATTTTTGTTTTCTGGTAAATAAAATTAATGGTGTTTGTGGTGTGGTACAGTTGCTTGCCTACTGAAAAGAGTAAGAGGAAAGCTTCGAAAAGAATTCACAAGGCTGAGAGGGAGAAACTGAAGCGTGAGCAATTGAATGAGCTCTTTGATGAGCTGGTCTCTGCTCTTCGTAAATTTCTTTTCAATGGGAACTTTTAATTTTTGTAGCCATGCAAAATTGAATGAATCTTGAAGAACTTCTATTTCTTGAATAGAATTGAGTGAGCCAAATACTGGAAAGCCTTCTATACTATGTGAAACAACTCGACTATTAAAGGACTTGCTTACACAGATTGTATAACTCCCATGAACTTGCTTAACGTAGTTATACGTATGAAAATAATTCTATCTACATCTACTAAGTCGCAATTATGATTTTTGTATCATGTTTGTGTTTGGTGAGTTTAAGATGCTTGGGTAAAAATAATAATAATAATAATAAATAAATAAAATAAAATTTTAAAAATTAATTTTGGCATATCGAAATTTAATTCCCGAGCCCAAATATCTTTTGAAATATGTATGATTATGTGAGCATAAATTATGTGTCATTTCTTTTATATTTGTGATGTGAAAATATTTAAGGTTTATGGAATTGTTCATAGGAATACTTTCTTTGGAATTTAATTAACCATTATTTATTTTTTCATAATGTATATTTAAAATGACCATGCAAGTGAAAAATATGTCTCAATTAAGAGTCATGGTCGAATTTTATGGACTAAATAAGGTTAGAAAGTTGGTTAATTTAATTACATTTTAGTTTCTTTTTTTAATTAGTGATTTGACATAAAATCTTTCACCATACTTTCATTGTACTTTCTCATTTAATTTTGGAAAGTCAAACACTCTAACTTGCCTCTCTTTTTGTCTCCATCAATTGACTTCTCTTACTACAAAAATAGGACACTTGGCATATTAAATATAAAAGAAATAAAAACGAAAAGTGTAGTATTAAAATTGGATGAAAAGATGAAACCTTGCCATTCTTTCTAGCTAAAAATTCGTGTCCTTCAAAAAGGGGTGAGAAAAATGTGAGTTTGAGGGAAAGAAAGGAGAAAAGGAAAGGGAAGAAATAAAGGAGAAAAGGAAAGAAAGGAAGGAGAAAGAGAAGAAAAAGGCTAATAAATCTTAACCAAACACTCATAATTGTAAGTAGGTTTCTTTAGGTTTCATTTTAGTTTTATTTATGGTTTAAGTTCTCTTTTATATGTTTGATTTATGGGTTGGTTTGGTGATAACTATATGTGTAACGCCCTCGCCTCGCTCATATTTCTACTACCCAAGTAAGTGCTCGGACGAAGCGCATTACGCCGACATACCCTAAACTCTAAGTAGTTTTTTTATGATATTCTTAGAACTTTAACGAGTACATTACGTATTTAACTCCTTAAGATAAAATTTACATAACATAATTAAATACATTAATAAAATATTACATGCGATATTCAATTTCTTACGAACTCTATACCCCAAATTTATAGACAAAATAAAAACTACTATATGGTGCCTCACATGAGCCGAGTTAGGAGGAGCCAACCACATCCGTACCAACTTGTCCTTTTCCGTCAAGACATAAAAAAAATAACAACGGGGTGAGTCGAAGCTCAATAAGCGGGGTGATGGACGTGATATACAATATTGTTTTGATTTCCCACCATACTCATAAATTTTAATCTCCGGTACTACGGGTATTAGCCGATCTATTCTATTTATCATCCGGTGGTCCGTAGATCACCTTCGCTATAACGGAATTATCCCTTATTGTAATTACTATTAGCGAGAATCCATCGTCTAACGAGTGCAAGCACGAGCTTGATTTCATCCGGATGATCCTCGGATCATCTTCTGCTACAACGGAATTATCCGTCGTTGTAACTACTATTAGCGGAAATCCATCGTCTAATAGTGTATGCACACATCCTAGAGTACTTGGACTACTAATACCCATTTATTCCAGTTAAGTTATCAAACCTAGATGTATAAACCATTTCTCAATCAATTGACTTGTCTTAAACCACCCACTATGCACATGATGCACGTGATGACATATTTAATCACATTCAACCAAATTCGGGTACCAACCCTTCATTCTCATGCTATACTCATAGTCCAACCCACACTCGAATTTATCCATTACTCACATACCAATCATGATACTCACAACGGGAACATAATCTTCGCTCATTAATATTGTTCATTAGTTTCCTTAATATTTAAAAGAAGGTCTAAATCCATTTACTTTAATCCGAGCCCATTAACTTTATCCTAGGTCCATTGACTCTATTTAATTCCATTTTATTTAGTCCAAGCTCATTTAGTTTATTCCAAACCTATTAATTTTGTCCAAGTCTAATTTTTTTGGTTTTAGGGTTTATTATCGAGCAACTCCTAATCGAGTAAATAATTTTTCAATTTCAGAACATAATTAAATCTTACCCATTTTATTTTAGATACTAGAAATATTTATTTATAACATATCCAAAAATTAGGTCTAAATACCAAGTACACAATTGATTACAAATTTTTGAAACTTAGGGAGCAATCTATCTAGTAGTAGTTTGTATAGAGCTATCCATACTAAATCGGGTATAACTCTTCGTACACGAATCCAATGACCAAGAAATTTTAAAGGGAGTTAGTTGAAACATAGATGAACAACCTTTATTCTTTAAGTTTCACCCGTAAATCGATCTAAAATCATTGAACATGCACCCTAAAATTCGGACAGAATTTACTCCTTATCAATACTAATTTATTAGTTCATTCCAAGCCAACTTTAAACATATTTTAGTTCACTTAAATTTAGTCCAAGTTTAATCCAACCCATCACCATATACTTAGACATTTTTCAAAAAATCATAACATCATAAATCATCACAACAAGGCATCCATACATAGATTTATCCCAAGCATCAAGCATATAACCATTGAAAAATATTACAACCCATGAAATAAACACTAACAAAATAACTTAAAAAAATAATTTAAGAAATTAATCAGCTAAAAAAATAGAACCTTCTTACCTCTTTTAGGTTTGATTAGACTTTCCTTAGCTCTTTTCCTTTTCTTTTTCCCTTTCTCTTTTTCTTTCCTTTCCTTTCTCCCCTCGCGTTTTTCTTCCTTTCTTTTCTTTCTTGCCTTTTCTCTCCCAATTTTTGGTACCTACGGGTTGCTAAAATTTTTCTCCCAATTTAACACTTGCTATATATATATATATATATTTACTTTCATTCAGCTACCGAGTGTTAGAAATTAATGGGACAAGGTGTAAAAGTTATGGGTGAGTCATGAGGAAAGTCAGTCGCTTTGGAATCCATAATGGGTGAGTTGGCATTAAATTCATTTATTGCATTCGCTTAGGTGTCTATATAAAATTTAGACTAATTAAAATCATTAATTAACTTAATTCAAGTAACTAAAACTACTTTCTTTCATAAAAATTCTGAAATTTCCATTTTTAAAATTCGAAATTTCTTTTCCTCTCAAAATTCCAGCAGTGTTACCTCCTAACCCATCTATACTAAAACGTGCATAAATCTTTCTATATATATCAAAAAATTATGAAATTTTATAGAGAGCTAGTAAACACATAGAAAAAAACTTTTATTATTTAAGTTTTTCTCAAAAATCAATCTAATATCATCAAATAAATCTCACAAGATTCGGGCAAATTCTTCTCCCGAAATTCCAGCAGAATGCATTTCGGAACAACCCTCACCATAATGGATATAACTCTTAATGTATAGGTCCAAAAATTATAAAATTTTATACAGTTATATGCAACACATAGATGAACAACTTTCATTCTTTAAGGTTTACCCAAAAATTACCCTAAAGTGCTCAAATAATTCACACAAAACTCGGGCAGAATATAATCCTTAAAACATTGATTTTGCATATTTGATTTCTTTAATAATTAAGCCATTAATCTTAAGCATAATAACTTTAATTTAACATAAATCACATATTTCAAGCATTAATTTCTCATGATGAAATGAGAATTATACTTACTCTTAATATACATATATATAGAATTATTATAATACACGTCGTGTTACGGATAAGGGTTTTTACGGGGGTTACAATATGTGATGAGAAATGTGTTTTAAAAGAAAATTTTTGAATTTTTGAATTTTAGGGGTGGTAAATTTTGAACCTTGCGTGATTTATTTAGGGATCTTATAGTGATTTTTGGATAGAATTCAAAAAACAAAAGTTATTCATCTATGTGTCTATTAGCACTCTGTAAGATTTCATGATTTTTATATCTATATATAAAGAGTTATAGTCGATTTGGTATGGATCGTTTGGATGTACCACATGTTGGAAAATTTTTAGTTTCGAACTTTGTGTGATTTATTTAGGGATCTTAGAGTGATGTTTGGGTAAAACTCAAAGAATAAAATTTGTTTATCTATGTATTTAATAGATCTCTGTAAAATTTAATGATTTTTAGATCTATATATAAAGAGTTATGGATGAATTGGTACAGATTATTTGGATATACCACCGTTGGAAATTTTCGAGTTTAGGGAGAGGGATTTCCAAAATTTAATAAAAAGAAATGAGTTTAGGTACTTAAACTTGATTAGTTAAGGTGTTTAATTAGCCTAAGTATGTAGATAGACACCTAATCTACCATAATATAACCATATGGGTTTGGAAGATATGTATGATTGGGTTTGGATTTAAAATAAAGTGGACTTGGAATGAAACACATGGACTTGGTATAAAACAAAGTGAGTTTGGACTAAAATAAAAAGGGGTTTGGATTAAAATAAAATGGAATTGGATTAAAAAAATAGACTAGGGCTTGGATTAAAAATAAATGGGATTGGACTAAAATAGAGTGGGCTTAGATTAAAATAAAATTAAATTAAATTAAAATAAATGGACTTTGGTTTGGATTAAAATAAATGGGCTTGGACTAAAACAAAATGAGTTTGGATGAAAATAAATGGACTTGGATATCCTAAGAACACTTAGTGGCCCTTGGTACTAAATTGATCAAGTTGGATCATACCATGATAATATTAATGAAAACCCAAGTGTGGATTGAATTTCTAAAATGGTATGGACATAAATAGTTTGGTGCCTATGAAATATGGAATGTGGTTCATGATACATGAAATGGATTAACCCTATTAGACGGGTCT